GAATCAGACACAAGATACATTCAATATAAAAACACGATTGATTCGTTTTTATGCAGTTCCGACACTTTTTCAGTTTAATTCTGGTTCTGAAGATGAACAGTTTTATAACATATTCAAAAGATCAACGAGAAATATAATAAATATCAAACAGAAACAAAAGAGAAGTTTACACCAAGATCGAGGCTCCTCCTGTATTATATTATTAGAAATTAAATTACTAATTCTCATGATAATAATACATGTATCAGAAATAATAATAATAATAATTGTTATAATAATGATGATAATAATAACACTACAAATAATAATAATAAAATAAGAATAATACAAATAAATGATAATCATCATCATCATCATCATCATCATCATCAACAACAACAAAAGTGTTCAAATCTGTGTGCTAATTCCTATTTGGAGAGCACATGGACTAGTGATGGCAGGATCTTTGCTCAAGTCAAAGCGACAGGTGGAAATTCAACATCAATTATCATCTCATCAGAAGCAGATCTTGCCAGTCTGAAGAAGTGATTTTTTTTTTCTCACTTGTTTTACTCTTGTCCTTAATCTTTGTTTCTTCTATTATGCATGTACATGTAACTTGTAACCATTAGATAATTTCCTGGCAACAATCACAGAGTGTATTTCAAGATTCAACTCATTATTCTTTTTTTCCCTGTTATGTTCTTCTGGTTTCGTTATTCAACTATCCATTTTGTGTATATATTTTTCTTTTTCTTTTCTTTCAGAATATCAATTTGAACCTGAAAAAATTGATTCTCCCGACTGCTATATGAATACTGCATTCGATATGTATTCATTAAGTTGTGTTTGTTTCAGTACTATTATTACCTGCAATTAAATATGCATGCTGTTTGCTACTACTATCCTTTCAATCTTTAATACATGTACAATCATACATTATGATCGTGAAAATGAAATAATTCAGTAATAATAATACCCCCCTCCCCAAATCCTTATCCCACCCCACCATCTCCAACTCACTCAACCTCACCATTACACAATCATGCAGACTCACATTCCTGTACAGAATCCCTATTCAGTGTAGGATTAATCTTTATAAATGAGCACAAAATTAAGAGCCCTCAGATTGAGCATTCCATCTCATCCAGCAGTAGCTGAACACACCCTCAATACTGGGCCCTGTTTCATAAAACTTGATATCAATAACAGGTTACAAGCTACTGTTATAAGCTACTGAAATCAAGGCATCTGATTGGCTGAGAGCAAATTTATCATAGAAATTAAGCAATTGTTATAGATTTTTTTAAATTATGAAACGGGCCCCAGGTCCAAACATCCGATGGAATGATACCCATATTTTTCAGTTTGAAACGCAATGCTGGTCACAAAAAGGGGTGTGTGAAAGAATCCATCTGGATAAAAAGGAATAATCCTTCACTGATTTAGGGACTATGGCTAATCATTGTCGTTTATCTTCGCTCCAGAGATCTCGAGACAGCAGCAAGCAAGACTGGCCTACTAAATTGTAAGGTTGGTAGAAGCTTAAAATACACAAAGCACGTACACTCTCTCCTAATATAGGACAATTGTATGCATCTTGGTTGAGAACTGCTCCTATCTGTACGGATGGGGTCAATTAAGGGGCAAATCCTCTGCCGGTGGTCTAGAGCAGTGGCGTAGACAGGTTCGTACACCTGGGGGGATGACTCAGAAGCGGATCTAGCTTTTTGCTAAGGGGGGGGTTGACCAATAATGACGATGCAGAGCATCGTCCACGAGCCGCGAAGCGGCGAGCCGATTTTTTTTTGGGTGTTTATTTGAACCCCGTAAGTGATGTTTTCCTGGCATCTATTAACACAATGGAGACCATAAAAAGCAGTGCATGATAACGTCTTTTTAAATCAAGTAACAGTTAAATACACAGTTATATCCAGAGTTATCATGTGTTTGGTTAAGTTACCAGATGAGTTGAATATCTTCTCACAATATTTGCACTTGAAAGGGTTTCTCTCCAGCGTGCGTTCTTTTTTCTTTCTTTTTTTCTTTTTTCCCCCTTTTTTCCCCCTTTTTTTTTGGTTTGTTTTTTGGACCGCCCAAGGGGGGTTTAAACCCCCTAAACCCCCCCCCCCGTAGATCCGCGCCTGTTTAATCTTGTGGTTATCTTGTGGTTTCCAAACAACAAGATAACCACAAAATACTTGTAAGATTTTCTTTTTTTACCGTCTGAATTGGCTTTCACCGTGTGAATGCGGCTAATAACAATAAACTCAATTTCAATAATGAATAGGAATATTATTATCATCATCATAATTATTATTATTATTAATATTATAATTGTTATCATTATTATTATTACTATTATTATCATCATTATGACTTATTAAGTAAGCAAATATCATTCCCCAAAACCTGGGGGGATGATTGTACATGCCATCCCCCCACCTTGTGAGGTGGGGGGATGCATCCCCCTCACCCCCCCCCCCCCCCCCCCCGTTGTCTACGCCCCTGGTCTAGAGGGCGGAGCCCACGAAGTTCTTGATTTTGTAACAATTTTGAAATCACGAGCGATATCAATTGTAATTCTTTTAAAGTCACAAAGCCCCTAACATTTCACTTTAGAAATAATGTCTCTTTCTCTCTTAGAGACAATTTTATAGAACTGTGTTTTTTGTTCGTATAGGCCTACTTGAAATTAATTCGTCTCCTGAGGCACATGTCGAGCCATCCCATCGTTCAATATTTCTGACATTCCTCTCAATTTTTTCTTTAATTTCCTTTATTTTCTTGACACTTTTAAAATTCCACCTTTCCCTTTCAATAAGGAAATAGGTGACTCTGTCCTGGGTGGTCCGGATTGGCATGGTCTATACCATTATATTAGTTGCAAATTACATCAGATGATGCGCAACTAAATCTACATATCAATCATGGACCTGTAATTGGGCTTTTTTCCTGTGATACTTTTTCTTCCGAGTCGTATATAGCTGCATGTAATTATATCAGTCTTCAATCGAAACCAATCCAGAATATGATTTGTGATTAGAAAGTTCTCCCAGTTCATTTTACGCCTACACCTTAATTTTCACCTCAATTATGTCATATCATATTCAACTTAACTTCCCGAATGCATGTTAAATACCAATATTTTCATTATTATTATACTCTTCAAGCTATTGTTTGTGAACCCATTTTTTTTTCGCACTAAAATTTTGTTAATGGATCATTTAAATTTAAATTTACATTTACATTAATTATCTCTGTGTATTTCTGCTGTTTCAGTTTGCGAATTGTTGAGATGTGTGTGTGTACTTGGGTATTTTTAGACTTGTATGAATCAGATATCATTATTTACGTCTGGGGACCGACCTCCGAATGATGTGGCTCAGTGTCGAACCGGGGTCCCCTAAGCCAGTTTGTAGGCGAAGACAGAGAGCTGACCAAGTGACCGTGCCGCTAGACCAACTCATATTATGATAGACCATGGGCCTACTAGACATGGATAGACCAAGACCTATGTTGAGCCACGTTTCAGCCTTCACAAATTATTTGAGGTGGAAAGATGCCCCAATCTGCCGGGCACCTCACTTCGGAGACTCTAAGCATTAAATCGAATTCCACCAATAGCTAGTTTCGAACTTTGAAACAGAAATTAAGATTTCAAATTGAATGGGGATCTGAATGACTTGAGTCAACCCTAGAGGGCATACATGAAGTGCGTCAGACGGTTGGTTCTTAATAAGTCTAACAGTTCCAGACAATCTGTGACAACCTTACGACAGACGAGGGTTTGTGCCTGCAGCCTTATTGGAAAACAGGAGTTAAAGCCCCACTGTCCTACTTGTAGCTACTTGCTCCCTCTATATAGAAAACTTCCCCAATCGGTGCCAGTTGGTCCCCCATGATCCTCTATTTCTTATGTTAGTTGAGAGCTGAGTTAATGAGATAGCCACCTGCCAGTGACCTTGCTGTGTGGTCTAATCCCTTTTGGCCCAGTAGTATTGACGGTCTTTAAATAAGAACCTCTCCTTTAATCGGAACGACTGTTGTCGTGGTGACACCGCTGCTTGAAAGATTACTGCGCCCTCTGCTGCTCGAGAATGGGTCAACCGTCCTTTTCCCGCGGTAGACTTTTGAACGAAACTATGAATCGAAGAGGAGAAGAGAATTGACATAAAGATTTTTGTTATAATAGGAAAGTACAAAAAATGGTAAAAAGTTATAGGAGTGGGGTTTAGAGAGAGAGAGAGAGAGAGGGGAGAGAGAGGGAGAGAGAGAGACAGACAGACAGAGAGAGACTCAGTAGCCCTATCAGCCGGTTGGGGGCGGTGGAGGTAACATGTATAGGTCTTAAAGATAATTGTGGATATTAAACATCTAATTGAAAAGAGACTCCCGAGTCATACATTTTGAAAAAAATTACATATACTAACTTTGTGTGTCACAGCAGATGGAAAAGCTGTCCGCCACTTCACCACAGTGACATTACTGACTCGGCCGATTTGAATCACTTGAAACGTAAAGTGATTACAACTTTGAAAACTTCAGAACTTTCATATTGTTTGTTTGCTCGATTTAGTTAAAACTTTCACCAATCCGCTTCTGTACATTTTCTGCCTTCTTTTAGAGCAATTTGGTTGTATTTTCCTCTAAAATGGGGGAAGACTATTAGAAAAGTGTTGGATACACCTTTGGGTAATAATTTTTCACCGTCTATTACAAATTACGTAACAATTAAGTTGACAGGTGACTTGAGAATATTATACGTACCTCTTTATTCCCAACTGTGTGGATGAGAAAAATCATCAGCCCCTGTAAATATATAAATATCAACAATCAGACACAACTTCAGAAAACCGAGTACAAGCAAATGCTTGGAAAACAACGAATAATGTAGTGAATATAGAGCCCTCAATGTTAAATGCGAGGCAGGGTGTACGTAAGGCATGGGCCAAATCTTTTACAGTCAACCAAATGTCGGCATAGTTTTTTGTGCAAAAAAAAAATCCCTAAATAATTAGTCATGTAAAATACCTTTTAAAATTGCAAACAGTCATATCAAATAAATGCAAAATCTTGTAGGTAAAACAAGGTTTATAATCTATTTGGAAATAATGATTTTTTTTTTGTTGGGGCCCAACCAAAGAGTGTCTTTCTCTTACCTGAAAACTATTCAGTGCCGTGAAGAGATAGTCAAATATGACGGTGTCTTCGTTGATGGCAAGGATCCCAAACACCCAAGGCGCTCCCATCACAGGTGTAAATACAAGGAGGACCTTAGCTGTGGTTCTTTGAGAAGATATTTCAATTTTTTTTTATTTTTTTTTAATAATATATATGTATATAGTTTGCATTTTACTTTCTATTATGTTGAAAAATGCAGAAATACAACCAAACAAGCAAACAAGAGAAGAGAAGCGAAGGCGGAAGAAAGGTGGTGCCTGGTGGGAACGGAGAAGGCAGAAAGAGAGGGAAAGCTAGGATTAAGATAAATGAGTAGGGAGAGACGGAAGAGGAACAGAGGAAGGGGAGGAGTAGGATGCGCGGAGGAAGATAAATAATGGAAAGGAGGGAGGGAGAGGGAGGGAGGGAGAGAGAGATAGAAAGAGAGTGAGATGGATTCAAAAAGAGAGAGAGAAAGAAAATGATACCATACCATTCATTATGGAAGATATTGATAAAGGTAATAAAGATAAAGATGAATGTGTAAAGTCAAGATTATTACAATTTAAGTATTAAAGGGAGTGTATCTTGGCGAATATTAGTTAATGCCATCTACGTCTCCTTTTGGACAACTGCACAAAAACGAACCGACTTAATCTCTACGTGGTCAGCGTTCGCGAAAGAAACCGAAGTTCACGCTTCGGTTTCGCGTATGTTGCACGCACGTGATATACCCGATTGGCCCCGAGTCAGGCCACGGGAAAGACAGTAGTCTCGTCAGGCTACACTCCCTTTAAGGAAAAAGACTTAAAAGTCTTATCATCTTAAAAAAATATTAAAGCCGCCAACTTGTTTCACGCAAAGTGTTGTGGAAACGTTTAGGTATAAACAAAAATATTGTCGATTCTTGTAAATTATTAATGATAATTAATGATAGAGGTACACTTACTTTGCTTTTGACACATCGATTTTTGTGATATCCCGATCGATGATTCGTCTAATCTCTCGTAGCACGATGCCCAGCAGGACGATGTTTATCTGTTTCGAGTTAGAAAGACAAGATAGTATCTCATTATGACACCAAGGGGGGGGTGTTTCATAAAGACCAAGTTAAAGTTAACTTGGGCTTAACCAAGGCAGGCCATTTATGCCACTGGTCGCTTTCACCATTGGTCTCTCAATTATGATCTTTAGATAGCATTTTCCCTTCAATAATGAACTATCAAAAAAGGTAAGTTCAGAAGATTTGTGACCACAATTTGTAAGTTCTTTGAGAAACCAATGCCAGGAAATGGTGAGAGAAAACAGTGGCAAGAATGGCCTGCCATAGTTAAGTCCAACTTAAAGACGATCTTAGTCTTTGTGAAACACTGCCCATGTCTCTTTGCTACTTATAGCACCTACAATTTACTGCGCTTTACAATTTTAGGACAACAGTACCATCCTCTGGTCTACCACCCGGACAACTAGTCGTGGACAACTACTCCCGGATAACTATCATCTAGGATTATAATCTCCTTAGGAGAGAATTTTTAGACGGTAGTTATGATGGTGCCAAGTAAAATATCACAGGTAAAAGTATAACAGGTGAAAATGTCGGAGGTGAAAATAAATGGTATTTTATACCATTAACGATAGCATGTCAGAATGATTACAAATGACTTTAACTAATCTTTCAGAAAAGCAAACGGCTTGCAATTATGAATACTTACAATTACATGATTAATAAAATTGAGAGCCCTATGTCCTTTTTGTGTGACAAGTTAAGGACAATTTCGCCAAAGCCTTATAGCTTTTAATCATTTTAAATGGTTCGCATACCAACACTGATTTGGATAGCATTGTTCACAGAAATCGTTTTGCATTTTTCAAAATACTTAATAATTAGATTAATGATCTATTAGTATTGTAATGATTTTGTAGCCTACTTACGACTATAACGGCTAAAGCAGGTGCGACGAACGCATAAATCGCCCCGCCCTCTGTCGATAACCAGCAGCTGCAAATAAGAAAAAATACCAGTGTTTGGTGAAAATGGAGGTGTCATGGTATAGTGGTTCACTCACTTGACTCGCAATCCCTGAGTTGAGGGACCGAATCCCATCCCGGCACTTACGTTCTTTGGCAAGACTATAATCTGCATGTGCAACTCCGTAACCTTTTGTAGACGGGTACATTGCAATGTTAGGGTAATGATAAATGTATATGGCCTGTATGAAGAGCTGTATTAAATAAGACCTATTGAATGTTTATTATTATGTGCTTTATCCATCATCTACATTGTATGGACGATGTCAATAATAATCTTGTTTTCTGCGCTTGAAATATATAGTGGAAAGATATAATTGAAAATAGATACACAGGCGCACGCCAGCCCCTTTTAATTCCCATGATGCCGGGAAAATGAATCCCCCTCTCCCCTCCCAATCCGAGTAGGGAGGATTCTGTCCGCTATGTATGATTTTCTGGGGCTTACTGAATTGAATACGATGCAACGACGACACAGTGCAAAACATCGAGCTGAAACAATAGATGCGAATCGGAACAATAATATAAAATACTCACAAGTTTTCACTTGGTATATGATCAAAAGAAATCCCAAGAGAAATACCAACCAATACAATCGGCACACCTATTGAAATGTAAGAAAAACAACATAAATGTTAGGTGTAAGCTTTGAATGGTGAAGCTGTTAACTCCCATTTTTAGAAGTAAAGCTTGCAAAGATAAATGTTGAAACGACCTTTTTCTTCAATCCATATTTTGTGATAACAAAGATAATGACAATATGTCATATCGAAGAGAAGCTATTTCCAATTCATTATAGTTTTATTATTTTTGTTATTATCATTATCATTACAGACCACCTTATTCATCTCCAGTGACGAATTCAAATTCTCGTCATTGTTATTATACAACATGTATCTATTATTACACTACAACATCATCCATAAACGAGGCCGAATGGCGTGCATCTATCTCGTGCCGTTTCCATAAATATTATTTAAAAAGTTTTCTTTTGATTTAATGTAATTTCCAGAAAACACCCCTACTCTATAACAAAAATGAAGAGGTCGCTGTTGTTGACAATTACTTACCCCATCCTGCCACGACATAGTAGATAATGTTAACACGAGATGAGAACACTTTTACCACGTGACGATAGAGATAGATTGATTCAATCAACATCCAAGAGAAGCTCGCTGTCATGAAATACTGAATCACTATGGCAATCACTTTGCATCCGATCTAAATACAAACAGGTAATATAAAAAAAGGAAGTTATGTTGTTTGTTTATTTGCTTGTATTACTTTCTTCTTGGAGCCTATCGAAAGGGGACTTTATTAAATCTAAAGGCTTACATATGACTTACTGTGAATTGTTTAGGTCTGTACTGGTCTCTTGCAGAATATATATATATATATATATATATATATAAAAGAAGGACGGTATGCCGATTATAAAATCATTTCGCGATTTCTAAATAGTAATATGACTACATATAGCTATATGAATAGGGGCTGAATGAAGAATGGGAATATCTTGAACGTGTTACAACATTATATTGCAAACCTGGCCCCTGTTTCATGAAACATGTTATCAATAACAATATACAATTGCTGTTATAGGCTACTGATATCACTGCATTTGATTGGTTAATAGCAATCTTGTTATAAACATGTGACGACTGTTATTGAAAATAGGTTTGAGGAGACAGGGCCTTGAAAATTAAGGCTAATACGGTAAAGGAGGAAGATAAAGATATGGAGAATATGAACAAGATTAAAAAAAACTAGAACTACAATCGTATCAAAATAATATGCATGCATTGACGTCCGTGTTTCTACGACGCAGATGAAAAAGCATCCCTTTTACTATCTACAACAATTAGTTAGAAGTCTGTGGCATCTTGAAAAGTGAAGATAGGAAGGCAGAGAAAAGGGCACAAGAACAGACCAGAAACAGACAAAATGGCGCCTGGACGGTCACGCATTTAAGTAGGCCTAAGAGAAAATTAAGGAGGTACAGGAGGAGGGGATTCTAAGACATCGACGTTTATACCTTGTTATCTGTTCGATCTATTCCAACAAGAAATGTCAGTTGTCCTGCTGCAATAGCCACAAGTAGCATGGAATGGAGAATTCGTTCCTCTTTCATCAACCTTTCAAATCAAAGGGAGAAAAAAGGAAATATCACCGATAGTATTTACTATCACCAACCGGTCCTTTGGTAATATAATACAATTGTAGTTTGTGCAGCTAGCCCCCGAACATATTCTTCTATATTAATTGGTAATTGCCCTGACATGATAGGTTTTTATCTCAATATATATTATAAATATATAATATGTGACTGACCTTTCCTTTCAAGGTGGAGTTTTCTGGAAAATTTCTCAATAATAAATGTTTTTGATGGTTTAGAGGTTTTAATTGTTTGTTTTATCGAAATGCTACGAAAGCAAGTATGCTTTTACGTAAGTAATAATAACAATACATTGTATTTCTAGAGCACTTCATGCAATATGTTCCTAATTAGGGGATCAACGGCCACAAATCGTTTCCGAGGGACTTGGTAATAAGGATTTAACGTATTTCCAAATGGCAGCAGCGCATCAATTTGGTTTCGACCCAAGGATCTTCTAGTTACGTGACCACTGCTCTACCACTAAGCAATCGCTCCTCCATGTTTTTCATATGAAAAACATATTTATTTGGATCCCTGATCCCCGATCAAGGGTCTAACATTTTAACTTAAATCCCGACTGTACTACTTGCGCCCTCTATATAGCAAACAATGCCTAATCAGTGCCCGATGGTCCCCCATGATCCCCTCTTTCTTATGTTAATTAAGAGCTGATTTGATGAGATAACCACCTGTCAGTGACCTTGCAGTGAGGTCTAATCCCCCTGGCCAAACTAGTGCAGACGGACTTTATATACATACCTTAAACAAAGAAACAGTATAACGATGAGAATAGCGCACACGATGGATACACCACATCCGATGAATGTCAGAATAGACAAAACTTTACCATGGATCATAGGTATCTAGGAGACAAAGAAAACAATCAGTTAAATCGTCAAAAGAAAACGAAATATATCATTTAAAAGCAACTTGTACAAAAGAAAGAAACTCGGTATATTATACAATTAGCCAATTTGATATATTCATTATCACCCATGAGTTTCTTCCAGTCGGATAAAGAGAAAATGATTTGAGATCATTTATATTCTAGGTTCTGAGTTGTAAATAAGACCATATCCTGATCGCATGATACTTCAAAAAGTTTTTTTTTTTAGTTTATCACAAAAATATCTGCTTTGTTATTACTACTTCATCTATTAATATGTTAAATGGTCTCTTAAGCAAAACAACCAACACACAAACAAACAGAGGGCACTGTGGCACTTGGGGAAACATGCACCCGCCGTCGTCAGTGCTTGGAGAGAAAAAAAAGCGAAAATTGCTATTTTGAGGCTAAAATGAAAAATCGATATAAGACCTCATTGCTCAGTATTCAAAATGTGCGGACAAGGATATAAAACTTTTTTAAAGTGTGCGACTTGCAAACAAATACGTTGATGAAAAGTAACATTTTTATAAATTGAAACAGCTTACCTTATCTGAGTATTCCTTTATTTACTTTTTTCATATTTAGGTATTTATTCGTGAATTTTTATTAAGTCACTTGTTTTAAAAGAGGCTGCTTACGTCATACTCTGTGACTTTCATGAGTATACTGAAGCTTGTCAGGTGATCACATTCACATCTGGTTCCGGTTCCTGTTTCGTTGATGGTGACACATCCACTAGTACTCCATATATTGTTGTCATAGTTACTAGAGGATAATAGCACGATGATGTGGATGAGGATGATGATGACGATAGTAATAACAATAACCATACTACTACTACTACTACTACTATTACTACTACTACTTACAATAGTAATTATAATGATGATATAATAATATAATGAATAATAATAAGAAGAATAAAGATAATAACGACGATGATAATGATAATGACGATGACAATAACAAATTACAATATCGCTGATAACGATAATAATTCTTGTCCATATTGATGAAACTAAGTATGTAACCGTCGATATCACGATAAATTGCAGCATTATGTAACATTTTCCCCACTTTATTCTATATAATTTTATGCAGTAGTACGTCTAAACTCTAAACTGTCTAATTGATTAAAACGTTCAGAAGAGCTTGTCTTCATTAGCCTTTTAAAAATCCGATTACTATTTACAGCAAACTTTTTTATTCTTCCTTTGGAATGTTTATTTATTTAGTTGATACATAATCTAAGATTTTACAGGGACTTTCAATAATCGGATGATCGAGTTGCCTTTACAAAAACTTACCTCGTTGTCTCGTCAAGCCACACGCACACTGTCTCGTTTGGAAATGACTGAAAGGATTATTGCAAGAGGTAAAACAAAAATTTAAAAAAGGAACAAAAACATGAAATTGAGAGGGCATGTTCACTCATTTAAGTTCAATTAGTGTTTTTTATTGGCTCTAGATCAATGTTTCCCTAACTTTATTTTACCTCAGTAATCAACCCAATCAGAAACGGCTATCGTGGCTATATGAGCCTATTACTTTCAAAGTTCGAAGCTCTAATTCTAAAAAAATATATATTAAGCATGATTTGATAAATCATGACGTACTCAATGGCCCGAATTCACAAAGGAGGTTTGTCGACAAACCTTGGTTTTCGTATGTCATTATGACGCGTTTTTACGCGTTTTTTACAAACCTGGTTTGTAAAAACGCGTCGAAACGCCTCATATGACGCACGAAAACCAAGGTTTGTCAACAAACCTCCTTTGAGAATTCGGGCCAATGAGTACATATATATATCTACATAGAATAAATAACAACAACGCCACGTGTACTTACCACCATTTGTTTCTGTGTAAAGTGGAGCACGACTGGGGCGAGAAATGGCTCAGGATTGGGCGGGAAAATCTCCAAAGAGAGAAAATCGCCGATCAGGATGTCATTCCCCTCACATTGATCACTGGAGACAAAAAATATTGATAATTTAAAGACAGAGAAAAAAAAATATAAACAGAATTACTAGACATGCAGGACCTATGAATGATGGAGGCGGACTCGATAAAATATGGTCTAAGACAAAAACGGGTTGGCTTTTAAATACAATTGCATAGCATCTTGGGAGGGAAAAGTTGGTTTTATCTTCAAGATTTCTGTAGGTAGTTTCTCATCGTTTGCTTCGTTCAAGTGACATTAAGAATCGTATCAAGAAAGCAGGGACTGCTTTCCAAAGGCTAAATAACATATGGACTTCAAAAGGCATTAGTAGCCACACGAAGATGCAACTGTACCAATCACTCATCCTCTCTATATTGATTTATGGGACAGAATCCTGGACAGTTAAAAAAGTAGATAGCAACAGGCTTCAAGTGTTTGAAATGGCGTGCCTTCGTCGCATAATGGGGGTGACAAGACTAGATAAGATCCGTAACACACACATCAAAGAATCCCTCAACCTCGACCAAGATGTTATGGACAAAGTCTCCACTAAAAGACTCAAATATTTTGGCCACGTCCTAAGAATGAAACCCAAGATTGCCGTTGAAGGAAATGTCACAGGAAATCGACCCAGAGGCCGTCCACCCAAAAGATGGCTTGACTGCATCTCAGAGGACTGCAAAGCAAGGTCCATACCAAGGCTGACAGATGCATCAAGTAAGCTTTTTTCATGATTCTGTTGCAAGCAAATGTGTTAGTACGGGGGGGGGATTAATCTACCTTTATGATAATATCATCAATGGTGAATCTCGATACTTTCTGAATATAATTCTGTTGAAATCAAAGGGCTTTTGTTTCTACATTGGTATTTTATAGATTATTTTCATTGAAACTTTCAAATCTTCCTGATTATGTCGTAGAATAATTTCAATGCAATAGTAAAACGAAGGGATAATTAATTCCAACCAGGTGTATGTGATACATAATACTTTTAAGAGAGATTTTATATGGTCATGGTCTTGACCCTTTTAGCCCTATCAAATCACAATGTCGAGGTGCAGTCTTATTACATTGTTTTACGACATAATTGAGTTCATATGTACTTTGTACTTGTTTAAATATGTTCATATTGAAACGGACAAAGTGGACAAAATAAGAATGGGCAGTTACCTGTCTGCACAATGTTTGCCGTCCTCATCTAAAGGCGGCTCATTGTACAAGATGAACATCAAACCTTTGCAACAATCACCTGCGAGAGATGAAGACACGATGTAGAGTAAATTGGCTACAAGCTCATTATTCTTTAGTGGCGTAATGCAAGCTGTCATTGATGTTGAGCGTCACCCTTCTCGGGTTCGAACCATATCAGTTCGCAGTATTGTTAAAGCGGGACTACACTACTTGTAGCTTCTTGCGCCCTCTATATAATAAACAATGCCTTAGCGGTACCCGTTGGTCCCCAATGGTCCCATTTTTCTTATGTTAATTGAGAGCTGATTTGATGAGATAACCACCTGTCAGTACCCAGACAGGGAGGTCTAATCCCTCCTGGCCAAACTTGTGCAGATAGGCTTTAAAGTCTGAATAAATCATTTTTTCCTTCTCATATGGGTATCATTCATTCTTATTTTTCATTACAGCGTAGTTAAAATACATATAAAATGGACAAAAATGTATGAAAATAACTAAATTCAAGAAGATTGCCGCTCTGTACACATATATATCAATGAAACATTTCACGCCGCGTTGCCAGTTTAGAAACTGAAATGATAAGGTACAGTCAAATCATTCTTTTTCATAAATGGCAGATTGTACTGCATTGGTAATTGATTCAATTCGGTGGGGATCTTTGCTTTTTCTGCTCATGTACACCATGTAATTACTAGAATCTTGGATTAGAAGATAATGTTGAAAGTCACTCAAAAGTGACACTAAACAGCTATGATTGAAAACAGGAATACATAACAAGGAATGGCGTAATACGATTTTTTTTCTGTCTTCCAATTTAATTATCCAAAATATGATTAGATTCTGTAGCCAAAGTGACATTCTTATTCTTACCATTTCTGAGAGCAGACGTTGGAATCTCTATAAAGGTGTCGTTTCTTTCACCGAACGTCAGCTGGACATCACTGTCATTGATGGCAAGGTTGACGATCATTCGAAATTCTGGTAAAAAATTCATCAGAAATATTTACATTTTAAGCAAACATTGCAAAACGCAATCACAATAAACAAACAATAGATACATGAGACAAACGAACGAATAAACAAACAATCGTTACATTTCGGATCTTCTTTTATTTGTTTCGTCGTTTGTGGAGATTATCATATTACATTTGCATATGTTTTTACAAATTTATACAAAACAATTCATGCGTGATTAAAATACATGTAATTGAATGAAAAACGGAAACACAGACTGTTTTTCACCTAGAACAACTGCCCAAATACTATCCCATTTTCAGTCACCAACCTTGCGCATATTACCATCAGCTAAAGTTGTTGCCAAAAGTATGACAAGAAAATGGAGAAAGGATTTTGCAAGAAGATCGGATGCTAAGGAAATGTTTTTACGGAGTGGCCTCATTCTTGTTACAAAAATACGTAATTTATTATTATTATTTAACCGAACTTCGAAGAGATCGGTGAATTTATATGTTGGTATCTATTCTCCCGCTCGTGTGCGTACGTTTGTGCGTGTGTCGGTGTGTTTTCCGGGGTTTTTTTTTTTTTTTTTTTTTTGGGGGGGGGGGGGGTTATGTGCGTGATTATTTTTCAGCGACACAATAGCCCGAATTCACAAAGGAGGTTTGTCAACAAACCTAGTTTTATGTGCGTCATATGACGCGTTTTGACGCGTTTCAGACCGAGGTTTGTCTGAACCTTGGTCTGAAACGCGTCATATGGCCTAGGTTTGTCGACAAACCTCCAATGGCTTTGTAAAAGTGCCCATTTCTGATCTGGAATAGCTCCGCAACCCTTAAAAAAATGTATAGATTAATATTGCACTGGAAATATTTATTATAATCATTATCATTATTTAACTTGTTATCAATCAAAATCAAAAAACAATCACAATAAACAAATCATACACAAGATATTCAAGGCAGGCGGCAATGGAGAAATAAATATGCAAATAGCCCTTGATATATTTACCCCATGAAATATTAAATGTGGCTTAAAGGGATTATTTGCATGGCATATGAAGGGTTAATCAAACATGAGGGCGTCCCATACCTTTGACAATGCCGACATCATAGAAAGCGAGCTCGAGTGTCTGGTTGGTGACGTTGAGGAGGTGTTCCAAGAGGGTGGCTCCGAGGTATTCGATCATGAACGGTGTCGGCTTGGACCTGATTGGTGCGATGGGCTCGCAGTTTGGACCAAACAATGAGGGCCAGACCGACTCCATGTGAGAGAAAACTGTTTCCGCGTCTCTGGTCTATGTAAAAGATGATCATAAATATAATCATATACTGCACGTTGATGTAGAAGGATATATGCTCGTAATTTGTTGTTAAATGTTTTTCCCACTGTAGGCAATTGTGACCGATTCTGGTCTGTGCGAATGATTCTCGTTTATTTGGAATTACTCTCGTTTTTTTATTGTGGATATTATAACAATCGTTGAAGAATTAAAAAAAGAATACAACAACAACAACAGTGGTGAAAATTACACAAAAACAACAACAATAAACATTTGAGTAAGATATTGGTTACATAAGTGGTATTCTGGAAGCCTTGTTAATTATATATGTTATCTCTACATTGACAGAGTTCATGAGCTGAATAATGGTGACGTTATAACCCACATTTGAAATTAAAAAGTGCATTCCTCAAAGGTAGTTGAAACATCATATTGCTTCTGGTTTAAAATATTCTGTCAACAACAGAATATTAATGGCATTTACAGAGAATATTCTGTCAACAACACGTCATTTCTTTTGAACATGACCCTTACAAAAATGTCCTTTGATATTTCCTGTGGTACCTGTTGTTACCACACAAAATACCACAGGAATATCCGATACCACAGGTACTCTTGTGGTAATGTACCATAGACTCGTGTGGTAATGCGAGCGGCTTTGGTATCCATGTGGTCTTTTTGGTGTTTCATGTGGTACGAGTTGTACGTTACCACACAAATACCACAGGATTTCTGATACCACAGGTATCGCGGACGAGCCCGAATGCACAAAACCATTTACCCCAAATTCAGATCGAGAATAAAGTGCTCCGTTAGGGTAATAAGACAGTGTACTGACTGATATGTCCAAATTACCTCATTCAAGTAGTAAATCAAATCGAAGATTACATCCTGTGTATAGTTTGCCTTCTCGTTGGCTATCAGAGCCAGATAATCTGTAGTAAACATAAACAATACACATTGATTAGTCAACTGATTTTCGAATTATAACAATTTAACAGATGAATACTAGCCTCCAAATAAAAAATTAAATGATACAGAGCTGATATATCTGCTCCGACATCTGATATTTTAAATCGTTAATATTTTATCCATTGATTAATATTATTACATTGCCACGTTGATTATTTTGGTTTACAATATAGGTGCAGTAAGGAAAGAAAAACTTCCAAGAGTGGTAATATTAAAGATGGGATATCATCATCTTCCACCATTAACCTTGCGCAGGTATTCGACGCTAATATTTTGATCGATTTATCAGCTGGAAGCTGAAGGGGCAATAGTCTTTTATCGGAGAAACACTTAAATAATAAAGATTAAGACTGTAGGTCTGTCATCTAACCTTCCGAATTTAAAACCCCTTCGGTTGAATCACATGTGACGTTTGAATCAGTATATGACGTCACATTGAGCGCTTCTTGCGTTGTCTCCAGGATGGCAGTGAAAATGTCAGTTTCCACAATCGGTGTCTCAGTCTCAG